GAATCGGGCAGTGGTGGCGCACACCTTTAATCCCAGCACTCAGAGGCAGAGGTAGGTGGACCTCTGTGAGTTCAAGGCCAGCCTGGTCTACAGAGCTAGTTCCAGGATAGCCAGGACTACACAAAGAAACCCTGTTCTGAAAAAAAAAAAAAAAAAAGTAAAGATGCATAAAAGATAAAGAAGCCTGCTACTATGTAAGCAAATTGAAAACATGACTTTTTTTTTTAAGATTTAGAGCAGAGGTTCCCTGCATGGGTATATAAAGTTGCTCTCAGAAAACAATGACTATTGGCCAAAAATCCCAGTGCCTAGCTGAGCTAAGTTCCTATGAGCTGTTGGTCATGGGGTCCTTTGAGGTCCACAAAACAATACAGGCTATTGACACCTTCCTTGATCGACCACATGAACTAAATAGTAAGTTCTTATTGTTGAAGATAACATCTGCTATGGCTGTAAAATACAGAAAAAACAAACTGGAACTGAGCTAAAACATTACTCCTTGCTGATTAGATTTCAATGTGCCAGAAGATATCATTGAGGCTTCTGAGGAAAAATTGTCATCACCTGTCTTATCCAGCCTTGAACTTTGCAACTTTGAACTTTGTAAATCTACCAGGTATAATGTACCCACTGGTGCAATAATGGTGTTACTGTTATGAGGGTTACAAACCACCGCTTCTGACAGGATTTGAAGCCTACTCTACAGAAAGGAATTTATGCCTGCTACTGTAACCTTGCTTAAAAACTCCATTGCTGGGAAAATCATAAGCCTTAGTGGAGAAGCCAGTACTATTATTTTGCCAAATGGACATGTTGTGCCTGTCTATGTATGTTTGTGCCTGTAGATAAGTTGTCAGCTTTGGTCAAAGATACTTCTTTTTGCAGAGGAGAATCAATGGGTACTGAAAAGAATCAAACCTGGTAAAGGATTGAGAACAGTGACTTTTAAATGCTCAGTTCCAAGTGTTACATCTCATGGAATATGTCAGAAGAGAGACTGGAAAGAATGCAAAAGCCAAAGGAAGAGAAAGAGAATTATGGGATGCACTCTTCCAAGCCCAATCCTGTTCTATTTATCAACACACAGCAGTTGTGATTGCCTGTACAAGACCTGCACAAGATACAGCCTGTCAACATTCCATCATGGATGCCTCAGAGGCTTACAAGATCCCTTACTTATCCTTTAGCCACTTAAATCCTCTGTGGTGTCCTGCTTAGGTTGACAAGGCTTTCTCTCCTTATGGGTTCCAGAAATTTCTCACTCCCCTCATTTTTCCATGCCTAGAAGGTAACAGCTCTGCTGACACTAACTCCAGGACAGAACTAGTTTCCCACAATTCCCACCTTTCTGTAAAATCCCTCTTTGTATAAATAATCATCCTGCTATTATCATGATTTGTATGAATCATCTGTTTCCTGCTGGGATTCCACAGTATTGATATATTCTGTGCTTGCCCAAGACACACCTGTGATGTGTTTATCTAGGTATTCTTTATCAATTAAAAATGAGGAGTCAAATATTGAGGTAAGAACTTGAATGATCAGAGAAGAGATGAGAAGCAATCGATGACCTCCTATCTCTTCCATTTCTCCATCCAAAAGAGCTGAGATCCTATCTAAGCCCTGCCTTACTACTTTCTATCTCTCTATCTGTCCTCAGCCCTCTGAAATCTCTATGGTTAATTTTGGTCACCTAGTGGCTAGCTCCACCCTCTGATTCAAAGCAGGCTTTATTGTCAGAATGTGATCAAAATATCACACAACAGACCTGGTGTCTGTATGTGATTTCTTTGGAATGAGATTGGCCAACCCCAATAAGAATGTAAAGTTTGAAGTAAAGTCTCACTCTATATTTGGGGTTTTAGAGCCTTTTCCTCCTTCCTTTCCTTCAAGGGATGCCCTTAACTGAAGACTTGTTGTGTTTTAATAACTAGTTTTCCGATCTTTGTCCTGTAGAAAGCCAAATGTTGGTGGAAGGTGTTTCAGGACTCTTTGGGTAACAGAATACAGAGAAAGTGGAAATAGAATAAGTAGATAGAGCTTTCTGTCACCCACTTCACCCAAATTTTATTTGAAAGTTTATGTTTCAGTTTACCAAGTTGCCTTTTAGCAACTGGTTGAGTTAACTTCAATTGTACCCATGACGAGTGAGAGCTCTCTGGGACTCAGGAAGATACCTCTAACAGTGTGACTACAGGCAATGATGTTGAACTGGTCACAGCATAGAGACTTAATCTTAGGTTATTCTATTCCAGTGTACCTCAAAACATACCCTCTAATTATGCACGGCTACTCAAATATTCTCTTGCCTTGTTTCTTTATAGAAATTTCTTTTAGAATAAAACTTGGGAGGCATTTTATGATCAGTGCACCTTGCTAAAGACATTCTACTACATCACACAGACATTAATTTTCAACAATCACTGTGGTGGTTTGAAAGAAAATGACCCCCAAAGGGTGTGGCACTATTAAGAGGTGTGGCTTTGTTGGAAGAAGTGTGTCACTGTGAGGTGGGCTTTGAGGTCTCATACATGGTCAAGCCACTCCCAGTGACTCAGACCACTTCCTGTTGCCTGTACAAGATGTAACTCCTTCTCCACTCTCAGCTCCTTCTTCAGCACCATGTCTGCATGCACACCACCATGTCCCACAATGAAGATGATGAACAAACCTCTGAAATTGTAAGGTCCCCCAATTAAATGTTTTCCTTTATAAGACTTGCAGTGGTCGTGGTATCTCTTCACAGCAGTAGAAACCCTAAGACAGGCACTACACACCATTTCCCAGACTGGCCAGACTGGCTCAGAATCCACTAGCATGTTCCTCTCCTTTCTGCATCACTTGTTACAAATGTAGATGCCTCCTGCTATTTAGAAATCCAAATATCCAAATGAGTCTATCTTTTTCTAATTATTCTTATTGTCTTCTAGGAACTCTTCCCAGGGTAAGTAGTAATCGGCCCTCAGCAGTTACCATCTGGTATTATTTAGTGGATTTCAATCTGAGTCACAAAATTACAGGAACTTGATTGTGAAGGTTGCTTGACTCAACTTCCCTCCCCTATAGAAGCTCTGCTCTAATTTCCTCTACAAATGGTCATTCAACAAGCCACCTGAATGCTTAGACAGCAAAAAAAAAGGCTTTTTTTCATAAGGCTACTTCCATGAGTGATTTTTTTCTCTACATTAAGGCAAAAATGTGCATGAAAACAAGTATTCTAACATTCCTTCTCAAAGTCACATCAACTCTCCTCCCTGTTGATAGGACAGTCCTTCAAATACCACCCAACAGTACTCATATCCATTTTGTCTTTCCCACACAAATCATCCATTATCACCAAATGTGAAACTTTTCCTCTGGGGACATTTGAAGGCTTCCAAATAAAACTTTTATTTTGTTCCTATTTTTTTTTATTTTGAATGAGATTCAGGAGGCATGTTACGATCAGTGCAGCCCACCAGCCACCTTACTAGACATTGAACTATGTCACCCAGACATTAATTGTCAATATTCACTACATATCATTGCCCTGACTGGTTCAGAGTCCACTAGCATGTTCCTCCCTTTTTTACATCACTTCTCACAAACAAAGATATCTTCTTTCCTGTATTGGTACTTAATTTCATGACTTTAAATACCACAGGGAAGACACATTCTTCTTTATTATTAGATAAGAAAAATGTGCTTGAAAGGGTTAAATATTCTACAAGAATCATACAGCTGTCAAGTGGCTTGTGGAGATTTGGTTCACAAATGAAACTTGAGCATCTTCTGCTAAGTCATCCGTCCTCTCCTTTATTTGTTTTCCTACATTATATCTAAGATCCATCTGTATGCCAGACAATAGTCTAGATCTTGAAGAAAAAGTACTAATGGAAATGTTGTAATTAAATTATAGTCTCAAAACTCACCATAGGTAAACTTCTAAAAATGGAAGATAAATAAAAAAACTAGAAAGGAGTCAGATGAAGCAAAATTATTTCTGGAAGCAATAAGAATCATATATAGCATCTCATCAGAAATAGTGGAAGCCAGAAGTTGATCATCTCAACAATGATGGATAAATCAATCAAGAATTCTATATCAAGTAAAAGACATAACATTCTTCAAAAGTAAATCAATAACATGGTATTCTTAAGAAACAAAGTCTGAAATAATCCATAGTCCTGAGCCCTAAGATTACAAGAAAGTCTAAGAGAGTTGGAGGTAAAGAAAAATATCAAATGGAAATTTATATCTATAGAGAGACAAAATGTAGTCAATACCAGACAATTTTAAAACATCTTTAACTGTTTGTAGTCAAATAATAATGACTTATATAATACTATATCAGGTAAGTATACTGTCTCTGTGACAAAATACCTAAGAAAAGGTGACTTAAAGGAGAATTTGTGTTGGTTTGCTTTTTACTGTGACTGTAGTTTCAGAAGTTTCAGTCCTTGGGTATTTGCTCTGGTGCCTCTGGGCCAGTGAGGCAGCTCATCGTGATGGAAATACATGGCAGAAAAAGGTGCTCATCTTATGGCAGCAGCAAACAAGAAGAATGTTCATGGGCATGAAAAGAATGAAATGGACCTTTGACAGGTACATCTCCAATGACTTACTTCCTCAACATAGATACTGCCTCCTAGAGTTCCTACCACCTCCCAACAACTCATTAAGTCATGGATACATAAACAAATGAATCCATTCATGAGGTCATACCCATCACAATACAGTCACTTATCAAAGGCCCCATCTC